CACATTAATCAGATTAAAAGACTAACTGATGAAAGAAATTTCAGAAGTTAAAATATGTAACATTTATTCCCTGCCACTTTGTTTGCTCTGTCAAACTTAAGCAGTTATGAATGTGAAGGTAGAGAACATGTGTTTAAGACGGGCTGTTTCTATTCCATTAAATCAGGTCTCACCTTCAGGGCCAAAAAGTTACAGCTGTGATGTTGTTCCAGAAGGGTCTCAGTAAGCACCTTCCAACTAATTAGCATCCATCCCCTGCTCAGATGCATTTAACCATTAATGCCAGTCTGTGATTAGAAGCCTTTACACACAAGCATTCACAGCTAAATTTCACACCTGAAAGGTGAAATTTTCATACCTGAATACAGACACTCATCATCTCTGTAAAACTTAATTTCAGTAGGAAGAGATTTTCCTTATGACTGTGAGAAATGCAAAAAAAGGATAAAACTGTTCCTTTTTCCAGGATACGAAGTTGTTGTTCATTCAAGGGAGAGATTCAGTAAACTTTCACATTGTCATTTTGAAGCACTTACCTTTCATTTTGACTTTAGTTTTGGGGTGAACCCGAGACCTAACAGTTTTATTATACTTATTTTTTTTGGTCAGTAAGAAATTACATAAGCCTTAACACCTCTTACTTTTCAATTCTTCTGTCTCTGGTGAATCAAACTCACCACCTCTGCCAAATTATATATGTTCATGCTTCTGTCATGATTCCTGAGTGACTAGAGGCTGTCACCTCAATTGCATTTTAAAATACAGGATTAAAGATACTCACTATGATGTTTGGCTTGCAAATATCTCAGTTCAAAAATCACATTTTCTTTGGTACATAAGCCCTTCAAATAGGCAGGAAGTAACAGAAAATGGTTTATTGTTTTAGACTAGATATTATCAGCTGCTGTGGGAAAACATACAGAAGTACTGGGGAATTAAAAAAATAAATCGCCTGATCTTTATTTTATTTTTTTTAATTAGATTACAGTTTACCAACCCCAAGTATTCACCACGTCTGAGCCAGCCTGCAAATGTCACCAGATTGGCTTGCAAATAATCAATCATTTTAAAAAAGGGGTTCATTTTAGTTGTCATGCATTTTTCAAGTCTAACAAACCCCTGTTTTTGGTGAAATAGTTAGGAACTTACTTGAAATAAGTTGTCCTGCAATCAATGCAACAGTACAGAAAGTATAGTGTCCTGTAGAGACTGTACTGCAACATTTAAACTGAAGTGACTCCTACTACCTCCCATGACTTTATGATGTCCTCGTCTTTCCCTCTGTATCTCTTCATCCCCACAACTTCTAGTTCCCTGTCATGCTCAGGACAAGAAGTAGCAGGTACGTGGATTGCTGAGTGATACACAGGTTTATAACACCTAAAGCATGCCGTTTGCCTGGCTTGCTAAGCAAGAAGGTCATGCTGAAACCTTTCTTACCAGTAGGATCATTTTATCAGTTCCCATCTTTTCCTCCTGGAAGATGATAGTCTTCACAAAACTTGTATAAACCTGGTTTATTTCCTCAGATATCTGCCCTCAGAAAAATTTAGTTTTAGTGTGTCCAATAAGCTTGATATGTACTGGGGAGAACAGGGCTGACAGAGAAAGAGTGTGGTCACACAAGCTTTTCTTTAAGAAACCATGTTGAAAACAGAAGTTATCAACATTGTGCCTAAATCTGAAATTTTTCATTGAAGTTTTAATCTACATTTGATTAAAAAATATATGCTGGATACTAATTTAAAAATCATCCCTTGAGACTAAAAATAATGTCTGTAAGAAAGGATTAATTACTTTCTATGTTTCAGGGAGCACAGCTCTCACTAGCTGATAGCTGTGTCCATCGCCACCAGGACTTCTAAAATCCTTTCTTGCTGTTCCTCATTTAAGTGAAGTGCATGCATTATAACTTGTTACAATGTAGCTATTTACACCTGTATTTTTAAATATATACGTATTATATATATAAATTTACAAACATTTAAACATGTTACAAAGTTTTTTATGCATTGGTGTGCCTCCACAGCAGTCCTTCCTCAGCGTGGAATTTGCTGGCTATTCCCGAGGTCACAGACAAGCACATAGTAAATCCAGATGAGCATGAAACAAGCGTGCAGGAAAAAGTTACAAGATCCTTTATAAGGTAACGATTATCTTTCTGATTCCCAATGTAAGCCAACTAAATATTCTCATCCCAACAATAAATAACCTATACTGATCTTGTTTTGTGTAACAGTGGTCTCTTAAACTGCCTGCCTCCTACAAAATTTTCTGCTGAGATCCCAACCAGCTAAACAGCACTGGAAGCACGACTGGTTGAAGGTAAGGAACTCCCAGATCAATCACAGATTATTCTTCAGTCAGGTCTGCTTGAAAACATTTCTTGTACTGCATGGTAACAAATGACAGTGTGCTATATAACCTTTACCTTGGATTTCTGAAAGCAGCGGACTAAGAACTGATACCAACACAACTTAAGGGAGTGTTTCAACATTTTAATTTGTGTTGTTTTACAAGTATAAAAGAAAACCTATTTATCAGATCTTGCATACTCTTATACACGTGAATAATCCTTACTGAGCAATCTGTTGTGCGACTCAGGAGTACTCAAGTGAGTACATTTTTTAACAGTAGCCCTATACCCTTCCACTGAACACATACGCCTCTAACATTCATAGAGGAGAGTAAAACTACAGTAAACTTGCAGCAAGAGATCACTCATTCATACACATACATCCTTCGTAGCTAATACTATCCTCTCAGCGCAGCCAGGGGGTGTACTGATAACAACACTGTCTAGGACTGTCATTAGCCTGAGAAAGATTGCCTCTCCTAGCATTATAGCATACCTTAGAAAAATAAGCTTGTCCTTCAAAACACTGGTCTTAGCAAAGTATCTTTGTCTCTGTGACTCCCTCCCATACCCTCTTTCTACCAGCAATGGCAGCACAGCTAGATCCAAACATAAAAAGAGCAGCAATACTGTTAGTTAATCTGTACTCCATGCTGTGGTGATAAGGGGCATGGCAAAAGCAACGGCCCTCACGTTCATGGAGTGTTTGAACTGTATTTGGTTAGTCTGCACAACTAAGGCAAAATCACATGACAGTAATATAACCCATACAATTTTTTTTTTTTCCCACTCGTAACAGTGATTTAAATATTCCGCTCCCTATGCATGCACTTCAGGAACTTGGTACAAAAATAGGAAGTAATATGGCACATTCTAAAAATATCCATATACAGTAGTCTTCATCATTGGTATGTGAAGTTAAATTGTACTCACTATGTAACATCCTGGACTCCTGGCTGTGTAACTCTCCTACTGTTGACTTCATTGTAGCACAAGCATTTCACTGGCTGAGGTTTGTGAGCTTCCACTGTTTTCAAACGGCAAAATCACAACAGCACCATCACTTACCGTGTCAAAAGTCTGCTTTAAGAGTTTGAGACCTCTCTCTTTAGAGATGAAGTACTTCTACATATGAAGCCACTTTTTTTTTTTTCAAAGCCTAACATTTCAGACCTAGGTACATCTGTAGATAGGCAACAACCATAACTCCCTGATTATTGATGGATATCCACCGATAAAGTCAGATACTCAGTTTTAGTTAAGAACACCCGAAAATTTGGCTCTGTGTGCTGAACTCTGCAGGTTTGGAAGCAAGGGTTACATTTTCACTTGCTCCCTTAACGAGCTACTGAACAAAAAGAAATCTGAAATACTCTTCTACATCTAGAAAAGTACAGAGAAATACTATACTGTACTTTGACATACAGAAGTACAGAGGAATGCTGTAGTGTCTTCAAGGAGTCACTTCACTATTCTATGCTCCTCAGAGAGAGAAATTAGAGCTGAGATGTTTGGTGTCTTCCCCAGATATGTGAGGTACATTCCCATGGCAAACTCAGGCCAAAAATTCCCACTACCACCCACCAATAATTTAATGAGATCTACATACACATACCACACACAGACACATATGAAGCAAAATAAAAAACATAACTCCATTATAAAACTGAAGTATGCAGACATTCATTTACAGTGCAGTAAAGAAAAAAAATAAAATCAGCTTAACTCTTTGCAGCATTGCATGTGACATATTTCATTATAAATGACCTCAGACACCAAACTTGAGACACTTCTAATACAATGATGCTGATTTCATCCTTACTGAAGAACTTCACATCCTCCACAACTATAGGATAGAGGCTAAGCTTAGGACACTAGGAGATGCTTTGGGTCATGAATTATTTGTTTCCACTAGCAGCCATAATGTGTAATACTCAGAAGAAATGCAAGGTACTAAATAAACAAAGTGCAAAAAGCTTTCACTTAATTTTTGAACATACAGTTGTGTTTGTGTATTCCCACCAAATTCTTGGGCATTCATCTGCTAAAGCTTTCTCAGCAACTTGCAAAATACAGAAACACTTTTATTTGTGGTGATATAGTGCACAGAAGAAAAAGTTGATGACTTTCATTTCCTCTTTCAGATTTCAAGCCTGTGATATTTCTGAGGTAAAGAAGTCAGAGGGTTTTGAACTACTGATATTAGCTAACCATAACATATTACAGCCTCAAAAAGAAGGACTCAGTTTCTTTCATCCCCACATAACAAGGCACTGAGTTGCCTGCTTGCTGTACTACCAACCCCCTGACAATCAGGGTAGTGCTCATCTCTTAACTTCAGCCATCTAAAAGGGAGACGGAGAATCAAAACTAATTGTCAAGGCATCTGGTTAACACTGAGTAACAGGTCTCCAGAGAATGATCCATACCACCTGCCTTAAAGGACATTTTAAGATGGGTTGTATTACTCCCTGGAGATGTGCTCTGGAGAGCACCTACATGACCAGTTCACACTATCTGCCCAACTTCTAGATATTTAAAGTTATATAAAGTGAACACCACCCTAATACCAGAACATCACAAACTAAGTATTAGATAAATGATAAGGTCAGAAAAATGAGCTATTCCAGAACATCACAATTAATGTGTTAAATTTAATTCCCTTACTAACAAGCAGCAAATATGAAGGGTAAGACAGCGCAAAGCCAATAAACCCTCTGTCCGTTCTCAGTAACGGTCACATTTCAGTATTAGTGCTGGCTAATTGGCTGTTTCTTGGCAACTTAGAGTACAGTGCATTGTAGAAGTCCAATTCTTAAACCACAGAGAGAAGTATTATCTTATTACACTGATTAGAGTGTAAAAAAGTCTGCAATTTGATCAAAGCAGACCACAGCTACAGTCCATATATAGTAAAGGCCTAAGCTCTGTTTCCATGCTAGGGTGGCATGCCATAATGACATCCTATCTGAAATAAAATGCATTTCCTTCCATCCTCAGATTTCCTGAGTAAGGTGGGCATCAGGCCAGTTTTTGAAGGATGTCTCCTATAATGATTTCAAAATAAGCATGTGATAATAAACCTATGTGCAAAAAATTCTGAAATAGAAGTCTATAAACAATGATTGCTCTCCATACACAAACACACACAGATACACATACTCATACACGAAGTTTTCCAGAAAGGTAGGCTTGTCAGTCATCATGCAGTGCTACGCCTGCAAGAAAGAAATCCCATTCACAAGACACAATGTTCAAGATACACAACATTCCCAGCAGGTGATCTGCCACCTTCCAAAGGCACCTACTTGCTTCCAGTTGTACTAGGCATTGGAAGAAACACTTTGATGAGGATTCCCCTTTTGAGAATCTATTGTCTTGCTACTGCTCCATGCTTCATCAGTATTTTCAGATTTCACCTCTGCCTTGTCTGTCAGTATGGTGGATTTGGGAGGCTTGCAAATAAAGCAGAGGAACTTGAAACAGGACAGCAAACCTTCGGAAACGCTGGATGAGAAAAGCTTTTTGCACGGGTGGCAGAACTGGTAGAACACCAACATGAAGAGGACAGCCATGCAGTAACCTATCAGGAGCTGCAAGACCAACAATGGGGCGCAGACATACAGGTAGATGTCGGTTTTATAGATGTACCACATCAGCAGGAGGAACGCATTCTCGATGAATCGCAGCATGTAATACACAGTCAGTCGGTACCAATTTTGGGATTTGTTAATTAAGTCAGGATCATTGAGCTTCACTTGCACTGCCGACCAGCAGAACATGTTAATGCCAGCATACAGGAAGGTGAGAAGGCACAAGACGATGGTAGTGCCGACCCTGCTCAATGCCTTCTCTATGTTCTCGGGAAATGGGGACTTGCTTTGCCAGAAGAGAATCCATGGGTAGAAGAAAAAACCAAAGAAATTCACTAGCACAACAGGGAGAGTCCAGATTTGAAGGACTGAACTGAAAAGGACCAACACTGTAACCCGTGTAGCAATCTCAAAGCTTCTCCACATGAAAATGCAGAGGTAGGCAGCTGGTTTCACGCTGACATCATAATCATCATACTTAATCTTAATAGCCAGGATATTACAGCGTAAGGCGCCATATACAATTGACAGGAGAGAAAGGACCATAAAAACACCTACAAAGAGAAAAGACAGATCAGGACCTTCAGCTTAGCAGAAGTTAAAGACATTGCATCAGAGTAGTGCAGATGTAGTTGTCTTTGCAGCACTCCCGGGGATTCCCAGCAGGGTGTAACGCCAAAACAGCCATTCCTTGTATACACTTCTTACTCTAACCCTACCTGCTATTTTGGTCCCCATTTGTTACTTTTCCAAGTAGCTAGAAAGAAAAAAAGGCACTTAGCAGTCACAACTGTAAGAGTAACCAACTTGCTCTCAAAGTCTCATAGTACTCCACAAGGCACAGGAGTGCTACTCGCTCTCCGTACAGATGAAAACCAGCAAAACAGAAGCCAAAATTTTGGATTAACTTGAGCATGCAGATACCTCAGTGCTTGTGAAGTTCTATGTCGAAGTAAACTGTCTAAGATCACAGAAAAGCTCTGTGACGGAGCTCAAAATTGAAAGCCAAAGCAGTTTAAACGCAGAACCACCTGCACTTTCTCTGCCTGTGTAGACAGAGATTTGCTGACCTGTGTACACTGTGTTTTCCTGTATATCTGTTTTCTTTATACACCTATCTGTATCATGCATTTAAAGACAACACTCCTTTAAAAAATGTATTTAAATTTAGATCAACTTTCAGTATCTCCCATTTACCCAGAATCCCTCAAGTGAAGGTTTCACAGCATTTAAATTCTGCAGAAAGTGAAGGCAGAGGCCAGTTGTTACCTGGCTTCCCTTCCAGATGCAATAGGGGAAAAGCTTTCTGGCACTGCAGGAGGGAGTCTTCTCTTGCCACATTAAGTAGGTACAAATGTACAAGAACCTTGGATGCATAGAACGAACATTCATCGAGAAGTACCTTGATGTCCAGAAGTGCTAACTGCCCGCAGTTTTGTTAGCATTTGCATAATTTCTTCACAATTTTTACCCACATGCTGAACAGCTGATTTACAGGACTAATTTTAGGCAATCTTAGCATTTTGTCCACACAAGGAACACTTCAAATGCAAATGAGTTAAGCACAGTAAAATTGATTCACACAGTTTTACTTTGTTGGTTTTTTTTTATTATATCTTAAGTCTTTTCAAGACCTGGTCCTTCCCACTTCAGAAATTGCTAAGAGAGTGAATTCTGCTCTAGATGAGCTGCATCACAAATACCTATTACTAAAATCTTACATTCAGATGAAGAATCATAAATTATCTATTATATATATTATAGTTTTCTAAACCGATAATCAGAAACCTTGAAAAATAAGGGCACTTTTTTTTTGGCCTTAAGATATAATTCCAATGCTTAGAAACAACTATTAATACTCAAAGTATGTTGTTCAAACAATGAGAAAAGTATTCTGAGGTCAGAGCTTTATGAGTTGAGAAGAAGCAACTGTAGAAGCATCTTAAGATATCTAGTAAGACCACCTACAAAGCCCAGTCATGAACATTAGGAAAGGGACACTGCAAACACTGGTAAGTTGAAAAAAAAAGAAAACCAAAACTTCTATTCTTGAAGATGGCACTCAATGCTACAAATTTTCATTAAAAAACCCAAACAAACCAACCTACCTTTTTCAGCAGAATAATTTTATTTTTAAATGGTAGGAAATCCGCCTTTTGAGATTATTTTATCACTGTAGGCAACACTTGAAAAAGATAACTGGTGTTAATGGCAAAAAAACCCTTTACACTTACAAAAAGATTGCTCTTAACGGAAGCAGATTGTCCACATTCAATACTGCAGGCTGAGAACTGGCCCTTTTTCAAGGATAAGAGGCCAAGCCACACATCCCCCACCTCCAGCTAGCTGTTTTTGTAATTAACGCTAACTCAGGTCTTTTTGGCACCTCCTGGCCTTGCAGTTCTCCAGGTGGTACTACCTAAGTGAAGAGGTCTGGATAGCTACCCAACAGTGTGTAAGTGGACCTGAGCCTAATGTCAGCCACCTCTTCGAAGCAAGGTTATAGCTGGCTCTCAGGCAATGCATGATACTGACAGACGCTGAAGCATTTAGTACAGGGTGAAGCCCAAATGTACAAGAGAGACTTTGGCGTCTGTTCTGGGAGTGGCAATTACAAAGTCAGACTGGGCATTTCATACAGTAACAAGTTAGGAACTTCTTCCCAGTTATGCTGTAATCAAAGAAAGAGCTTTATGTCTAGAACTAGGACTCAGATTAGGCTATTACATGTGGGTTTCCAATGTTGCATTTCATACAACATTTCTATTCATTTCGTGCTAAACAGTCACCAAAGCGTTATGTCTTTCATCGCTAACCTAGAGGCTTTGTCCTGCTTTTGCAACTCTCTTTAGTTCTCTTGATGTTACACTCTTGGCAGACAGTGAAATGACAATTTGGAGCATGCCAGACACTGGCAAGAATCTGATCATCCAGAAGAAGACATCCAGAGAAATTAATGAATGCCATGAAATACACAAGAAAGATGCAGCATGGCTCTGGTTGACAAAGGGCTAGGCAAGGATGCACACTCTTCTCAGAACTGTTCAATTTGATACTGGAAGCAATAATGAGTTTTAAACAGATCTGAAAGGGACAAACCATGCTATGTAGCATGATGGTAAACAGCTTTAGGTTCACAGGTGATACTGACCTCATTACCACTGACCAAGCAGAATTTACACAGAATGACAGTCAGGGTAGTGTAGGAATCCAGAAAAATAAAGAGACTGATGAGGAGACAAGACAAAAAAAATGTGGAAATCAAAATGCAACAAGAAGAGAGTCATAATTATAACAGAGACAAATGGAAAAGAGCATGGACTTTGGAGGACCAGTGTCAAAGAACAGGGAAGTTGAAGACATCTGAAGTGTGGAAGAAGAGCTGGACTGGCTGTTAGATTACTTTGATGATGCTGCAAGATCAAAAGGTTGAAGTCATGTCCCTATACATGAGAATCCCTGTATACACATAACAAACAACAAGCTGAAACTGTGCTATGCATCATTCCCATTTGCTCTGGAGGCTGAATAATACTGGTGGACAAAAGGTACTACTGCAGAAATGAGCTGGCTAAAGACATTGCAGAAAGTTTCAATATTTCAGAAGGTAAGATACACACAAGAGGAATATGGTTAGGACTCTTGTTTTTCTGATGAATGAGCTCTAACAGACATTGCCATTGTTCCTAAATCACTGATTAAGAAAAAACAACACTTTTTTTTTTTTTTCCTTTTCATTTCTATATTTTAGAATTACATCTGCTATGGAGATGGTTTCTGGGAGACATGAGATGACTACTGCATTTGCTGGTGTGTTCGCTGAACTCCCTGGAGAGCCAGCTTATCTCTGGTTGTTTAACTTTACTTCACCCACAGAGGGTCACTTACCAGTCTGTCATTCAGAATTTATCTCAGCATTGACTGATAAAAGTCAGAAGTAATAGGGCATTACAAATTATTATTAAATATGCAATTTTCTAATCATCTGGAAAACAGCACTTCTCCTTGGCAGTCATGACCAGTAAGGTCAACACCAGTAACAGAAGAAGTACAATAAAAAGGTGACCTTTCTCAAGCAAATGCCATCTGCAGTGAAGTGATTGGAAATTTAGCTAATTGCACTGCTCAGCAAAGGATTCAGCTGCTTTGTTCTCATCCCATGTCACAGATGCCATGGTTATTTGAAGAGCCCACCTTAGCTGTGAAGTACTCAGAAACCATCAGGAGCAATGTCTTTCAAGTAACTACCGCTATGACCTTAAACAAGTACTTTTGTATAAAGACCTCGCCTTTGGTATACTAAAGTTTTCCATTTCCCAAGTTGAGGGGAGAACCCTGAAGTTATTATAAAGGTTTCTCCAAAAATCTTAGTTCCTTACCTTGGTATACTGCCAACCAAGGTACCGGAACTGAAGAAAGCAATCAGATTCACAACGTGTCACCCTAGCCTCAGACTCCCTAGCTGTGAAGCTGGTAAAGATCCCTGGCCTCTCAGGGCCTCAGAGATATGACAAGAGCTATTTTGTGTTTTGGTGGAAACACACCTCCAGTTCACACAGGTGCCAAAGCCCTTTCTTACACCAAAAAGCTGGTTGTCCTATGACCAACTGGAGTAGATTCTTCATTTAGTCTAAAACATGATGGTATAGATAAACTTGAAAGCAACATCACCATCAAAAGCTGTCAGGGAGATGAAACCCATTGCAATATGTGTGGTTCTTGCCCAGGGCAACTACACCTGACTGCTGACCCTTCTCCTCTCCCTCCCACCAAAATATGGAGGTGATAACAACAGCTCTACCTACTTCTGGCAGCCGTGATCTCCTGCTGCAGGACACAGATGTAAAGCTGGAGCGTGAGCTGGGGTGCCGAGCCGAGGAACGCCTGGATCACAGACGCCCTACTGAACGCGGATCTGTGTGTACACAGCTTGCCTTCAGCCTGGCCCACTTCCTTCTCAATTTCTTCCGAGTACCCATCCTTGGGCATCTGCCTCTTCTTCGTGATACTGACATAGGGCTCTTCAACTCTGCCAGCATGGAAGTAAATGTAAAAGACTTCCACACACCTACAAGCAAATCAGTAAATAGAGTAACAGGAAAAAATGAAAGAAAACATAAGTCTTCCCACTCCTTAGTATTTTAAGCCATCAGATACCAAGTAATTTGTTCACAGAGCAAAGCATGTACGTTTTCTCTTCTTGGCAAATTTGGAATAGGACAGATTTCACCCTTTAAAACATGAACTACATGCGGCTGGAGGGCAAGAATCTGGCAGTGGTCTTTGAGCTGCTTGTAGCACTGAGACACAGAAGGCAGTTGTTTCCTATAAGCTGCCCTTGTTCTCTACTGTCCTATTAAAGTCCTTAAACTACCGATCCACTGCAATGTTCATAGGCTCCCAAGCCAGGACCCAAGTTGGAAGTGTTTCTTCAGATTCTCATGTCTTTCTCTTGGTGTTATCCATACACCCGTGAAATAGCAAACCCACTTCTCATACCTTTGCCTTAAACAATTTCAAGACATTGGAGAGAAGCTCAGGGTTTGAGTGGGTGCACACACCTCAAACAGTTGGAGTCTAGTCCTTGCTTTACCAAGCAATGGTTCCAAAACATAAGTAACAATTCATGGCAGCAATAACAAGAACAGACAGTTTAGAGCCTCACAACTCTGGATATTAACATTTTTTTTTAAAGACACAGAAAGAGGAGCTTTACACCTTACATTTGCTTACATTTACTGCACTGTTTAAGGAATATTAAACACAATCTTGCAAAAATATTCTAAATAAGAACATGCAGCGTTTTCAGCTGCCACAGCTCTTTGTACTGTAAACACAGGTGAACCAAACCCTCTTGTTTATGTAGATCTAACTTACCACAGACTAACTTCCAAAGAAAAAAGTGGTGCCAGCACATGCACTCCTATTCATAAATTACATATTGTTGTAACACATGCTGCCTCTACCCATGCACAGAGAATAATCCATACATTTGGGAGGCAATGGAAAAGGGCTAAAGGGGTTGGCAGCAGCAAATGCTGTAGCAACGAGGACAAGTTGGCTCCTTGAGTATTAAAGAAGATAATACATCCTCACACTCATTTATGAAAGGAAAGCTTCCGAAACTTCCTTTCAGTGCCTATTTTTAGTTTGGCAAAAACTTTAGAAAAACTATTCTAAGAGAGTTGCTTGGGTATGAAGGTGTCAAAGGTGGGCTTGGGGATCAAGCAGGACCCAAAACACAAAGGGCAACAGTCAACCTTGTCTGGGAAGTAATAACAAGCAAGGATCTACTGAGGTACAGATGAAGTCACAAGCTGAGGGGAAAGGGAGAAGAAAGAAACACTATTTCTGTCACATAGCATAGGGTCCTAAAAATGCAGGGCCTTCTGTGGAGGAGTCCGTGTACAGCAGGATCATAAAGGATAAATGGCATTGACTACTGAAAAACAAAGCTCCCAAAAGCCCAAACCCAGTGCAGACACAACCTGTTTTCTCTTTTACGCCTAATACTGGTATGGGCTTCAAGAAGAAAAACAATCATAGTGTGAGCAACAGCACTGGTGAGGGCTGGCTTCCAGCCCAGAGGGAAGCTCAGGGGAGAGAAACCCCCACTGCGAGGGCAACTTGTGGCACCAGCTCTGGTCGCGTGTCCTCCCATGGCCCAACATGCAAGGTATCTTCTTGTGTAGGCATCATCCTGATGAGGACTGAGCTGTCTTCTTTCCTTCCATAGTGCCTGCTGGGAAGGCATCTCCTCCACCTGGTTGCCTCTGTAGGTAATACTTGCTAGAATGCAGCATCTCCAAGTCTCTGACAGGTCAGATTTGGCCAGTGAGTTTTTGTAATGTACAAATAAGGCTTATCTTCTGTTTAAAAGTATCTCACAAACACAAAGCACACGGAGCTATACTTGTCTGAGACTTTGAATTCCCATTTCCTTCTCAGCTTGATTTTTTTCAACAATTGCCAAGTCAGAGTCTAACACAGCCTTTTAGGGGAAAGCTCACAGACTGAACTCTAAAGCAGCACTGATAGAAATTCAAATAAAAGCATACTAATTTTTGTTTCAATAAACTTGATTTCATTTTTCCCCCTAACTGGACCACTAGCAAGTTTCACCTGCTCTAGATGGAGAGCAGTTTTAGGATCCTGTAGTACTATCCTTGATTCACTAGGCTTCAGCTACTATTATCACTAAAGCTATTTGAAGCGCCTGGTGCGCTGGAGGCTCCATTCATGGTGGTGACTTCCTATTTTCCCCTTGTTAATCTTTTCAGTCCTGGCCAATCTTGTTCCATGCGAAATAATCCACACAGCCAAAAATAAAGTGTGAAAAATTAATAAAGCACAACAGCTTATGAAGCCAACAAATTGATTTTATTCCAAAAGAAAGATCCCAGAACATTTTTGTCTTGCATAGTATTCACAGCCATCTACTCATCCTGAGCTGAGGGCAAGTCTGAAGTTATTATGAAAAATGAGATCTCAGCCAGCATCAGCCTCTGAACTCTTGCTATGTGTGATCAGAAGCAGATATAGTCTAGGGACCCATCTAACAAATACACAGTAATCCCATAAAAGAGATGATAAAATTCATAAGATGACTGACTATAGAAAATATCATAATCAACAAAATGTTGGGGTTGGGAGCAAACATTTCATTTGTATATATTAGCTAGGTATTAAGTAGCAGTATATTGTTTGTGATGGGATATTTTATGTCCGTATAGAAAAGCAAACACAACGTGAAATGAATGGTCTGATGAGCAAACCTTAGGGCCAAAGGGGACTTTTACCAGTACAACAGAGTAATAAAAATGGTATGTGCAAGCACTCAGATTACATCAGTAATGATGCCCATCTGCTTCCGAGCCCTGCTCATCCCATGCCAGAGTGTCTCTGGAGGTCATGCCTTCTAGGGCCAATAACAAATGTACTCAAGATTCTAGCTGGTGCCACTGCCCAAGAAACTGCTTCAAACAAGAGCAGACTGGCAGCTGATACACTAGAAAGAAATAGCACCAATCTAAATGTTTAAGTAATAAAGTGTGAGCGGGGCAAAAGCACTTGAAGAACCATCCGGGTGAGAAGGGTTCAGAACAGTGATGAAGAATCAATTCAGATCACGTACCTGTGCCATGTTACCACTTTGTCTATGAAGTGCATTCAGAAAGGTTGTCTTTAAATGAACTGGCTTGTTCATTTTTAGTATGAAACACAACTAAAAGACAATGCAAGAAGGCAATTGCTTTGAGCCAGTTTTCTTCCACAGTTACAAACTCCGCTACACAACAAGGAATTCCCCAGAAGGCCCAGTTGCTCACTGCTCATTGCTGCTCTGCTCTGGAGGAACAGGAATGGGAGATCCCAACTTCTGCACAATCCATCTCCTGCAATGCAGTGATGTTTAGAGCCCTTTCAACAGATCCACACATGGTATCAACAGCAGAAGGCATGCAGCTGGCCAGTTTCGCTGCATGTAAAGCAATGACAGTTGCAGTACAGGCTCTGAAGGAACTAAAATTACTTTGAAGAAAAAAAAAAAAGTCAGATCTACTCTCTATAGTGAAAGTTAAAAGGTAAGAAAAAGATGGTGCTGCATTCTCCTCTGCTGCCAAATCTTGGCAGAGAGAAGAGCTATACTTTTTCAAGGATCCTGATGGTGCCTACAAAGAGTGATTCAGCAGCAACACATTTGTCTTCTACACAGTCAGTAGGAGGAATAATCCTATCCTTCTATGCCTGCTGAGAGCAAGCACCTCATTCCCTCTTTTAATCATGGATGTGTGGGATTTAAATACAGGCAAAATAATGGTGGTGTGAAGAGGGAGCAGGCAATGAAAACAGGGACCTTCCCACAGCCAACAAGCGCTCCAAGAGCAAACGTCTATGAGAGACCTATCCACACACACTCAGTGCAAACATAAAAGCAGATTTCTCTAATGACTCAATTTTTAGTAATTCCTTTTCTTTAGGGAAGTGTGCAAAAGACTTATCAGTCCTGCAGATTTACTTACCTGTGTCAGACAAAGATTTGTTCCTCACTCATTGTTCTACCTTCCATCTGCACTGACTTTCTGTTCATCGCACCTTGGACACCTAACACATCTGCTCAAGAATAAAGAAAAAAGAAAAGCCTGAAGAGAGTCTAGGCATATTCTTCCCATCTGGAAAAGAGGGAGATGCATCAACAGTTGTAAAGTTTAGAGCTCGCAGAATCTCCTACAGTAAGGTCTGCCAATGGAAGTCCTACAAGTAAGAGAGGTTTTTAGACCTGTGCTATTCTGAACTATGAAGCAGGTCACTAGGAAAAAGAGACTATCCACAAGAGACAATGCTTCTGCACAACGTGACTGAAACATTATCTGCACCGTTATAGCTTATTAGATTTCAAACTGCAGGATTAGGTGCCCAAAACATTAATGACTCCGATAATTTCAGCCTACAAGAGTTTTTTGGGCTTGGGTTTTTTTTTTGGTTGTTGGTTTGGTTTTGGGGGGGGTGGGTGGGGTGTTTGTTTTTTGGTTTTTTTTTTACTTCCTGCAGCTCACAGAATCTAACTTTGGCCCTAACAGCAAATCCTCTGGCAGTTTGATGCAAGCTTCCTACTGCATTTGTTTTGCTGCAGTCTATACAGTACATAGACACATGTAATTGTTTCTCCTTATGCCTTGAGAAACAAAGCCTGATCCCATTAAAAAAAAGAAAAAGTCTATTGTTTACATTCTTGTCCCATTAAAATCTGAGGAAAACACTCATTAGTGTTCTATATCAGTGCCTGTTATATTGGCTTTCAATTTTTTTCATAAGAGAAGTTCATCATCCTGCAGACAGAGCCATCTCCTGATTGCATGTTCCTCATTAGGAAGAACCTGTAGGCCCACATTCAGCTAACAGAGCACTAGGGACAGTAGTTTCAAAGACACCAGCAGGTGCTTAGCTTTCCTCTCCATGAAGTTGGTATCAGAAGGAACCACTGCCATGTTCACATGAGTCCCTTCTGGATATGCCACTTCAGTACTGTCTTCAGTAAATCAGATAGTAAGGAACCACCACATCCAGCAGACGTACAGTACAATACCACCAACACCCCCCGCTTGTGACTAAGTTCCGACTGTTCAAGTTGGTTTGTTGGAAATCTGCACTCCTCACTTCAGCTCCTGACCTATTCATTGCTTGCAGAATAGAAAAGGGGCAAGCAAGTTAAGAGGGGTTTCTCTGGCACTCTTTATGAAGAGCTATTTGCATTTTGAACAAATCCCTAAGTGCAGAGCATTATACTAGCAAAAATACATCCAATTATTATTTATTGGAATTATAGCAGCACTTAAAACCTCAAGACACTGTCAGTGCTACGAGCGCTGTCCAAATTAACAGGGAACAAAGAGACAGTTCTTGGCTCAGGAGCAGTCAATAATAAGCCAAAAAGCTCATCACAGTCTTCTCTAAAGAAGAGAAAAATGTATTAAATCTCTCATTGACATTGGCTATCGTTTTAAAGTAATTTATTCCACAAAAATTGACTTATGTGGTAAAAGAGTCTCCTTTTACAAAAGAAAAAAAAAAAAGAGGAAGTATCCAAAATATATTTTCTAACTATCCAGACAAATTTATGTGCTCACAAGGAGTGGCACTGACCTGAAATGCTGCAGGAATCCCCCACAGTGCTCAGAAACCTGCAGTTACTTTGTTCCAGCCAACTCTCTGCATAGTCTCCGGCATGCCTACATCGTAGGGATCAGAGCCAGGCCACCAAGGGGTATAGGAATTTTACCCTACAAATCGCTCCAAATTTATGGAGAAACTCTTAGGGAATGGCAGAAGGAATTAAAAAAGGGTGCATTAACAGTACTCTCCCAGTACAGCGAAAGTCCTCTCCAGGAAGAGGGATGCTTCCTAATTTTAGTGCTTCCAGTGGCAGCAGCAGGACAGCAAGTGCCTCCTGAACAGGTGGAGCGTGGGTGTTTGGGGAAGGTGGTGGTACGCAAGAAGGTTTTATAAGAGAATGTACTATTTTCCCCGTCGCACAGAGGATTCAAAATAGGCTAGATCATTTGGCTTGCAAAGATAAATACCCTCCTTCCCTGCCAAGATATTTCCATACCATTCCCTAGGATTCAAACTTAACTTTTTAAGGGAAAAAAGAAGGGGAGAAAAATGTCTAGCTTTTAAGATGATGAAGATGACTCACACAACATACATGGGCTGTCTGTAAAGCAGTGCACTGATATTTGAGTATTTGAGTCTGAACAGAGAAATACTAACTATCCTGTATCATGTCACAAACACAGTAGAGATGGTTAAAAAGTTAGTGTTAGCTTTTTTTAAAGCCAGAAAAAGCAGACTGCCCTCTGTTGAAGCATGCCATCTCACACAGCCTAAAGGCTCTTGAACATTTCATTCGGACGCAGCAAGTGGACAAAGCTGGGGCGGCTCTACTGTCTATAGGTCCTATTTGACCTAATTTGACCCAGCTTACCCTAAAAGGCCCTGGGCTATGCCAGTGAGACCTAAGAGAGACCGAATACAGGGGATGGAGTGATGCTTCATACTGGGGAAGCAGATGACTAACAGCAGCAGGACTCTCCGGTGCAAAGGAGCAGAGGTTTGCCTAAAAGGATAGGACAAAATGGCTCCAGGGACAATGGTCCTTATCAGCTGACAATGGTTAAAGCCACAGTGAAGTGACGATACAGTCAAAAAATATTTTGCCTTCGAGCTGTCACCTCCGACTTGTGTGTATTCCAGTCCACACAGGGTAGAAAGCCCCCTGTGCAAAGTAGGGAAAGGTAAGGTATTTCACATGCTGAAAGCAGTTCAACTTTTACAGTGCAGATCTACACCTGATGGGAAGCAATCTGGTTCCTCTTGACAGATACAACAATGTTTAGTGGCAGTGGATAGGAACACAAGGAAGAGAAAAAAAAAAGACCTTTAATGTCTGTCTCAGACTGATCACTTTGCCTTCCCACACTTCTGTACTGTATCCTACAAATAGACACATTTCCCCAAATTTAAAAAGAGGTTGTCATCTATGAAGCTTTCCCTCTTAATTTGTAGAGTCCCTCCAGCCTTTAGCAGGACATAAGTTTTTTCAGGTGGCACGAGTGTACTACCCTCTTTTTATTAGTAATTATAATTTCAGTTATCCTGAGCCCAGAGAGACGTTAACATGCATCACTTACTACTGCCTAAATGATGCCAAGGGCACTGTGGCACAGGCGTGCTGCAACGGTTCCAGAACATCTTCAAACCTGGAAACATCAAGTTCTTCAATCTTTGAGAAAGGCAGAAGTGCAGAGCTAGCGACACACTCATACACTGCAGCATCGAGGGGAGGGAGAGGGCTTCCGTATGCCCACTAGTTTTACAGCTGTGACTGCAGCTGGGAGCTCACCAACAAGCAGAAAGTGTGTTCTGCACAAGATGAGACTCATGTTGTAAACAGATAAACTTGATGTTGAGAAAGAAAGAGAAAGTGAAATCATGATTGGTTGTTAAGGTCAAAGCAGAAGCCTATGTCTCTTCCAGATAATTAGAAAGAAAATCCTCTAATTTGTTGTTGTTGCTTTCATTCTTTGTTTGCCTCTTTACATCTTGCAGCTTGACATGACATTCTTTCCTTGTCTGACCTCAAGAAATTGATTTAGAATGACAAAAGTAATGAACATCATTTTTGATAGGTGCTTTCTCTTTGGTTCCACTCTTATTTTCCAAAGAATTTTGTTCTTAGCTTGTAGAAAATTAGAGCTCTTCAAGAACTTAACTGTTAAGCCATAACTTAAGTCTCTTTGAAATATTAAGAAAACAAACAAACAAACAAAAAATCCAACGGTTAAAAGCAATGGTTAAAAGGAATTCAATGTTTTTGACGTGTAAGATGTTTTGTAACATCCAAACTGTTCACCCTTATCAGTGTGAACAAATCTTCCTCTCCCACACTGTCCAAGAATTTCAAAAAGTTGGGGGTACTTCTAGCCTGTACTACAGAGATACTGTATTTAATTCCCTTTCTTTTTAAAGAAGGGATCTGAACGTGAATTTAAAACGCAAGCCCCCAGCAAACATTTTGTCATGGGATTGCACCACCTCTGCAACTTTTCACCTCTCTGTTGTTTTGGGTGTCCCCCCCAAGGACATTTTCAGTCAGAAGTCGAACTGGAGTTGAAAAACCTCCAAAGCAATTTGAGGCAAGCAGCTCACTTTCGGAAGGAAGAGACAGACTACAGCATTACTAGTATTTCCAAGGTGCACAGACGGGATGGGTACTCTCGCTGTTTTAAGCCAGCAACGGGGTTAAGTCTTCCTTTCTCCCTGGGAAGCAACCTCAGGGTAAAGCGGTAGGGACAAACCAGCAGCCAACAGCCGCCGCCGGGGAGAAAATAAGGAAAATAAGGGCAGAAAACGCCGGCAGCAGGAGGGAGCGGGCTCTCCCCGGCCCTCGGCAGGGCCGCAGCCCGCCCCCGGCCGCCCCTCCGCAGGGGCTCAGCCCGTGTGTGTTCCCCCCCCGCCAGGTGCTCACTGAAGGGCAGAAACCACCCCGCCCCTCGCCGCCTTTTCTGCCTCAGGACATCTGCAAAGGGAATTATTCCTCCCGCAGCTTCAGAAATAAGAGCGGGAAGGATCTGATGGCGGCTAGCACCGGGGCAGAGCAGCAGGCGCCCGCCCGCCCGCCACAAAGGCCGGGGCGATCCGCCCCCCCCACCCCTTCCCCGGCCCGCTGAGGTGGGTAAAGGGCGGCGGGGCGAGGCGGGACGAGGCGGGACTCACCGACCTGACGAGGGGCCCCAGCTGCAGGAGGTGCAGCAGCAGCACCAGCGGGCGGTCGCGGCTGACGTCGCGGTGGATGAAGACCAGGCTGAGCTGCACCAGCGCGCAGGGCAGGAGGGCGAAGAGCAGCGTCAGCCACTGCCACATGCGGTCCCCCGCCGAGCGGTACGCCCCGCTCAGGCACAGCGCGGCCGCCGTCTCGGCCACGAAGAGGACGAGGGAGACGAGGACGGAGCCCGGGAATTTCATCTCCTCCTTCCACCACCACCACCACCACCACCAACCGGCCCGTTCTCGCCGCGCCCCGGCCCCCCCCCCCGCCGCTGGGGTGGGGGGAGGCGCCGTGCGGTGCGGCGGGGCGCCCGCTAGGGGGAGCCGCCGCGCTTCACCGCGGCGCTTCACCGCGGCCTCGGCCCGGGAGGGGCCCCGGAGGTCGGGTCCCTCCGGCGGCGGCCGCGCTGGGGCTTCACCCTGGCTTTTTGTGGGGGGAAACGGAGTGGACGGTGCCCGGTGGTGCGTGGGGAGCGCCCCCTCATCACGGCCGTGAGATACGTGACTGGAAGGAGGGGGGGGATTGGTGGGTGGAAAGGTGGGGCTGCTCTTCAGGGGGACGTGGGCGGGCTGGGGAAACGGGGTGAGAGGAGGAGGCGAGGGCAAAGTCCTGCACCTGGAGGAAAGCAACCCTGTGCAACAATAAAAGGCTGAGGGGCAGCTGAAAAAGGCAAAAAAGGACCTGCGAGTCCTGGTAAGCCTCCCCCCTGATGCCCTTTTACCACTTTGTCAGGTGGATCTTACCCTTGCTTGTCAGGCCTTTCCCTTCAAAGGTTCCCAGGACTACAAACCCCAAAGCCTGCCGCGACACCAGCAGCATTTGCCTGCTGTCCCCAGCAGGAGCCAGAAGACCACCCCGCGCCTCTCTCCCTTGCCACCAGAGCTCTGGAGTCATTCTGGACATGCGTAAGGTCACCCTGGCAGTACCACTGATGCCCCCATGGACAAGCAGCAAAAGGTATTAGCCCAAGGGCAAGACAAGCCTTTGCAGTCTCTCCACAACATCCTGAACGCGACCGCCTGGCAAGAAACAAAGCTCCTGAGGTACCTAGTCAGGCTGGCAGGTGGTGCCTGTATCCTGCGCAGGGGGAGTCTTCAATCACCACCACTTCTCCTCTTGGTGCAGGTACTTTGTTTGTGCTCAGCTGGCTCTGATGCCTGACCTGATAGATCTTGTTTCTCCTTGCCTCTTCCCAGGTAACTACAGATATGCAGGTGGAGGTTAGCTACAGACCTGAGACCTACCAGGAGCACAACAAGAAGGCAAGATGCAGAGTTTGAGATGCTATTAGCCTACTAATGGGGTAACGCTAACGGCTACTTCTGCACGTCTGCTACTATTCTTTAATTCAACTTAGGTTGTCACCAGATTTATAGAAAAAATGCTAATAATACTTTGTTTGGGCCATTTCTTGAACTGCTGCACTGACTAATCTGCAGTCCTGTTGCTCACCTCTAGTTGAGCTCAACTCATGATAGCAAAGATCGAAACCTTGTTATGGGTGGGCTGAAGTGAATTTAATTCTCTAGTGCCCTTCACTGAGAATGGAGGGGGTCTTTCTGGAAAGAGAAGAGGCCACGTGTACTGAGATTTAAGCAGGGTGAAAATAAACACTTAAGTGGAAAACTTTAATCTACAGGCCAAAAGCAACCTGTCTTCTCTTGGGAAGCTCCCATGAGGTAGTTATACCTAATGGCTACGTGCAGCCTGGATGTCTTCTGATTGGAAGATGGATGATTTTACCTTTGATAACACAGTACCACTGAAAAGCTTTTGGAGCCCTGAGTCATGACTGCTCCAGAAGGAAAAGTTGCCAGCACTGTGAAAGATAAGTACAGAAATAAGCAATCCAATGCAAAATCATACTGTTCAAGGTTGGGCTTTTATTTAAGGCAAAATATAATCACAGCTTTAACATTCATAATATCGATATATACAGAGTTTGTTCTGCCACTATGAAGCTTAGTGTTACCACTGCTTTTAAAAAGCTATAAAATCTAGTTTCTATCATAATCTACAATACAAAACTAATACAATAAACACATTCTGAAAGATCACAGTGTTTAAAACATTAGAAGAGCAGGGGTCCTGCTTTTAAACAATAAGGTGCATTTCTAAAGAATCAAATCAATCTTGATTCTAAGGGCCTGTACCATATTATGGCTGCGAATGGCTATTACACTGAGAAACCAATCTAGGGTGTGGCACGTACTCCAGAAATGAACACCGTATGTTGGAATATATTGAATATTCAAGTGTAACCAACACAAACTAGACATGAAATAATGCTATTTAAGTTCCCTGTACTTTTTATTGGTGTTGGCATCCATGTATATTGCAGACATACTGAGGGAAAATGGGTATAAAACTGCTACCAAATAGGGCCCTGCATATGCAAACACCTGTGCTTTCCTCTTACTATACGAACAAGCCTTACTAATTCCATGGGACTCATGCGTAAAGGAAAGTTTGTAGGGTTGGGGTCTGGAATGATGCAGTTTTGCCCGTTTCACATGTGTGGAAGGACCTAACCTTGCATGTCTGAAATCAAGTGGAGATTCACCACTGACATCAGCAGTGGCATATCAGGCCCTTAAAATGAGTGCAGAAGGTCAAATCAGTGGCAAAATCAGACCATTGTTAGAGGAAATCTTTCTTCGGTCATGGTAATGAAGACGGAAGCCGAGTTCAGTTGCTGGTCAGACAGCCTTTCTCTTCTATATGAAGTAGAAATGTATGTTTGAATAGGATTTGTTTTCTATTCACTGTGGGATATAACTAACTTCAGGACTTATACATAAAATTCTCTGGGGAGTATGCATGTATAGTCATGCAGTGCTGTTGCTGAATATCACTGCATTATAAAGTATCTTTCATTCAAATATCATTATACCACTAGGCAAAATGAGTTTTTAATTAATTTTCTGCCATTCTAGTTGGCATTGCTGTACTTGACCTAAATGCCTCCACCTTCTCTTGGAGTCATGCAGTGAACAAAGTCAAGGGACTCCCTTGTAAGTATTAAAAATAAATATGGCCTTATGTATTTTCAAGCAGACTGCTATTTATAAATTGACTTTTTTCAGAGCATGATGTAAAATTTTAAATATACAGGGTACCAGACCAACAGTGACATCAGTGACAGTACAAATTAGTCAGGAGGTTTAATAACTCAAAGGCAGGTTGAAAAGTTGGTGCATGTTGGCTCCTTGGATCTATTTTTTTAAACTGCCTAAGCATTGATAGGGTTCATCATTTCTATTCCATTAAATGACAGGAATGGGCGGTAGGTTCAGCTACAGGCAAGTCCCTCACAGAGAGACTTTTTCAGCATATGATGACTTTGCTATAATGGCAATGAAGCGCTGTTCAAGGCAGCTAAAACCTGTACACTGCACACTGTACCACTGTCTCTGCAATGAAGCAAACTGTGCTATTCTCTTGGAAAATGCCTATTCACATCCCTAAATTGCTGTATTGTTTTGTGGGCCCTGAGCATTTTTGTCTTATGGCTTTGAAGTATGTTGTTCCCTCAGCAATGTGATTTTTGGTCATTTTCTTACTTCTTTTCAGTTTAGCTGTCTGCTGCTTACTACTTAGGTCCAGGACATACTTATATAAAATGAAATGTCTTCTCAGAGCAATCTAAACTGTTCTGTTAGCCAGAAATTGCTCATTGGTGTAATTCTTCACAGGAAGGTTACTCTTTAAAATCTACAGGGCAATTCTTATTCCTGATATACTGATCTTCCTATGGATTAGAATATGCACTCATGCCAGTGAATATTCAAGGTATGTAGGAGAAAATTACCGCACCTGAGATTTACTTGGCAGACCTCAGAGATACACTCTGCCCATGGATCTTATAGGTCCAAGTAACAAGGATATATTGTCAAAATGCATGCATACACTAAAATAGGTCACTGTTTGCATAAAACATGCAATATGTTGGCAGATGCTATAACTGTATATGTGGATAACGATATAAGTACAAAAATTTGATTGCTTATGAAAGTTTTCATTTGCACATATTGCACCTGTATGTTTCTGAATACATCAGACACAGACGTATCGTTTTTTTCCACAGTATTTTAAAAACTAATCAGTATTCTTATCATATTCTCTACATGTCCATACAAGTATTATTAGAACATCAAAGTGGCATTACTTAATTTCAGAGTAGCAAAAACGGTGACCACTTTACTTGCATTTGTTTGTGCATATTTCCCAGAACTATTTAAATGTGTATTTTGGGATGTTTAGCCATTTCACTTGGTTTTGATTGTCTTAATAGAATTGAGATACTAGAGAAGTGAACATGCTCCCTAGAAAGTCTCTCTTTGTTTTATTTAATGATGTAAAACATCAGTGACAGTTGTTATACAGTATAATGATTTTTCCTTAGCAGGTGGGAAATGGCAGAGCCAGTGAGAAGAGGCCATCTGGGAGTGTAAAATAATGTAATGCAAATAAGTGGAACACCCCTCTTAGGCAAAATTTATCAATCTTATTTTCAAGAACAAAAGACCTGGGCTGCTGCTTCAGACTTCTTAAGTTATTCATAGGTTGGGAAAGAAAGGCAGGGAAACTGAAGGAAACAATGATGCAAACAAAGCAGATATTGAAAGCAGTAGCACAAAATGAGTATGTTATCATGCTGAGAAGTTGTGAGTAGCAGGAAAAAATTAAGATATATTTGTTAGAACTCTACTGTTGATGAAACTTATTGCATCTGGCTCTATGAATCCTGAAATCACTAAATCTGGACATTACAGATCTAGTTTCCCTCAAAATTTTTCCATGACAGTAATCTATGGATGACCTACCAAAAGTCATGAATAGTATATAGCTCCTTAAAGATTTGTAATCTACAGCTTTACTCACAAACAGCACCACACAAACACAGGTACATCACAAATAAGCACCAATACCCACACAATGCATCCTCTTTGCTTTAACAGCATAATCAGAAATACTATTACATCACTTAAATTCCTATTGCCTACACTTTAGAAACTAAACACAGTCAAGAAACTAATGTGCAAACATGACGTAGTAACTTATGTTTTACACTTTGAAAGAGGCTTCTCAAGTTTCTGGTAACACAGTCTTTTGTCACAGCACCATGGCAGAATCTGTTCAGGAAAACGTTTTTTCAGTCTATTAGGGCCTGAGTCAGGAGCAGGAGGAGACAGCATCCCACTGAGAATGTCTAGCAAAGGTTGCATGATCAATTTCTCGAAGCAGTAAGAAGGGAACACAAAGGACTTATTTTTTTATTACACTGAAAAGTGCTGATGGCTCTGCTCAGGTTGCTTTCCTGTTAACGTCTTAAAAGCAACAAATAAAGGTTTTAACAGTATGTATGTAACAGCTTATATAGTACAAAGGAAAAGAAGCAGCTAGACAATTAAGAGGAGGAAAAAGATGAAAAAAAACCTGCTCATTTAATGACTGGCATTTTCAGAAGAGCCCTGGGGTATATTTACACTGTATTCAGAAGCTGTGACTACAGCACGTCTAGTAGCCACCTTAACCCAGCTAGGTCAGGTAAGAAAAGCCACGAAGCTCTAAGAATGAGTTCAAACTGCCATGTCTGACAAAACAGATGAATAATTATGTTCCAAGATTTTATAAGATGTATCCCATGAGACTGGATGTTTATGTTACTGTTACTGATCTTGAGTGTCAGTAAACAAAGTTTGCCTGCTGCCCTGGCTGAAGTCAGTGCCGAACTTGCACGACTTGCAGAGAGATGTTTGGGAGCTAGATTTTGAAAACTGGGTGGTTGCATAGGTTTTCTCATTGTTGAATGGAGTAACTCCTACTCAAGGACTATTTTCTTTCTCACAGGATTAGTATCAAATGAAGCCAAACACATGGCTTCATATTCGGAGAATGGTTGTAGAGACAGAGATTTGTTTTGCGGGTGCTGTTCAACACGACACAGAGCAGATCGGAGTCTCCTCTGAATGTAAATCAGAAGGAATTAATTCTACAAAGAGACATGGAGGGAAAACCACTAGAAAACTAACACTGAATTCTTAATGTATACTTCCTGCCATTTATGAAGAATCACATTAAAAGATAAATGCAAACATGACCGTTGGAAGTTAAGCATAATAAAATAGAGTGATTTTATCTACTGCTATTATGGTAAATTTTAACATAGATGTGGTATGTGTTACAATATCAGCATTCATGACTTGGTCAGGATCTAAGTTACTATACTCATTTATTGTGCTCTAGATTTACTGAGGTTTTGACAAAGGTTTTCTTCTTCAAGCATCTCCTGAGAAATAACTAACTGGAAACAATTAAATGTTGTGGCCCACTGATAATTAAAAAGTAGGCACTGGGGACAAAATCAAAAGGTCATGATTATTATTATGGTATGTGTAGATTCCGTTAAGGCTTAAGTTTGGAGTTGTTTGGGTTTTTTGACATAGTTATCAAAACACTAAGCGTTCTTGTTTTATGTTTGCATCTCTAAATAAAAGGATTGGCAATAAATGTACGGTTGCAACAGCTTGAGTCTAGATCATGGCAGAACCTATTTCACTCTCTTACAATAAGACAGAATACAGTTACAGTAGCTATCTAAATGCTATGGCACAAATGTTGTTACTTACATGTTTTAGCTGAGTGACATTACCCTACAATGAATATTGAGACTAAAAACCTATTGACCACAGGGAAAAAGTGGATAGGCCAAGTTTTACCTTCCTTAAACATTTGTTTAAAAAGGTTCCAGTTATGAAATATATTAATATACTCACATTACAGGAAGCAACTAGAGAAGAATCCTAATAGACTTAGGATCTTCACTACTGACAGTTGACTTTGCTCTGATCTAACAGGAGCATTTCAACCTGGCTGGGCAGAGCACACGCACATCTCCATTGACTTTTTGATTTAGCCTCACATCTATAACTGCCTGTGAAATACATACTCCTATGTGTACACATCTCACTGCTCAGAGTAATGATGTAAGTGACATTAATGGCTTTCTTAAAAGACCTTTTATCCCATGAATAATAAACACATAACAACTGTATATTGAATTTTAACATTTCTGTTCACCAAAAAATCCCTAAATTCTTGACAAGCTGATACAGAACTTCATTGCTTTATTCACCAATGGCTTCTATGATTAAATAATTAATTAGAGCTGCACAGTGCAAGACAAAATAGCAGAAATCCTAATCTGCCGCTCATAATGATGCAAGCCATCTCATTAAAATAACAGTGGCAAGAGTAGGAATGGGATTACTATATTAAAATGCAGAAGGGTTGCAAGACCTGGCTCCAACCTACAGCCTGATCAAGGCCCACTGAAATTAAATGGGAACTTTAATCCGTTAGGCATTAAAAATAAAGAAATTGTAATCTCCTCCAGCTGAGAATGCAGGAAGAGAGACTGCATTGTTTGGCAGTGCATGTAGGTCAGCTTTTTCACCCTAACTGCAATTTTTGACATACTGGTCTTCCCAATCTGTCTTCAAAGGCAATTGCATTACATTATTCCCATATAAATAAAAATAAATAAATAGTAAATATCTCTTAAATACAGATATTGATTTCATAGTTTTTTAGTACAAATCTACGTTAGCATTTTCTTTAGCTTTCAAATACCATGTCTCATATATAATACATATAAAACAGCATATAATTGGAACCTTAAGTGCTAGTGCAACTAGTGTTGAGCAACCCATTTATTTCTATAGCTACAAATCATTTGGGCATATACATTATTTTGTTAACCAGGAAAAGAAGCGTTTTTGAATTTTGTTACCAGGTTTTTCTTAAAATCAGTATGCCATCCAAGGTTTGCATTCAGTTTGCAGGGTTTGTAGTGAACAATTCATCAAGGAAAACAGATTTTCTGTTGTCTGAAATATGTATGCTATTGTTCAGAAATGCTGCTATAGGTAATTAATTTTTAAAGGAAGCTTTTGTATCACTGAACAATGCTTATCTAGTAATGCTGTACCGTGAAGAAAGCATCTGCCTGCTGTATCTTTGCTATAGAACTTTTTGATCCATGTCTTCTCCATGGCTCCACTCATCTTCCCTGTAACAGGGAAAGTATTGACAAGAAGTGACACGGTTGCAGTAAATCAGTAAGGAGACCAGCTCCTTGCCCCAGACTGAGCTCTGAAAGGAAAGGTCAAATTCACTTCTCATTTACACACACGAAACCCCACTAGCTGAAATGAACCCGTGAATATATAGCTTTCTACATAACTATCAGTATATGCATATGAAGATGAAGGAGCTCCAAGATACAGGTATTTCTAATACATGTTAGTAGAACTAGTAGAAGTGGTTTAGGTAGAAAATCCCAGATTTTGCCTATGTGCAGTGTTGTGACATGTCTACAACACCCTCCCCGACATGTGCATCGCTGCACGAAGACTTCTTTTTGCAGGTCTCTTTCTAAAACCTACTGGATGCATCACTGTTTCTTCTATGCATGTTGCTATAATTCTAGCTTGCCTTTTTTTTTCTCCTGTGTAACCACCAGATTAAAAGTTTGGTAATGCCCCTTTCTCTCTCAGTTGAATAATTAGATTTTGCTTCTTATTACAGCTAAATATCTACCCCATCAGATTCAATCACTTCCCCCATATTTTTTTTTTTCACTGACCCAATTTTTATGACCACACACTTCCCTCCCAAACCCCCAGTGTATTTTCTTTTTCACCTGACTCCCAGCTAAGTTAAGGCTAGCATTAGTGGTACCACTGGCTTGTTTTGTAAATAGCCTCTCTTGACAAATAAGTGAAACCGCAGTGCCCTCTCCCACCGCCACTAGGATGTGGCCCTGGAGAATGTTACTTTCTAGACAAAGACACTGAAGAGAGGAAACTCAGCTTGGTTGGGTTGCAGCAAGTCAGTCAGGAAACACACAGTTCCCGAGAAGCCTTCATACAGACTATATACACTTTCTAATGCTCGGGAACCAGCCTTAAATTCTTCTGTAAATAAGAACTCTGCAAACCTAAGAAACAGGAAAAAAAAAAGAGAGTTTGTCATTATTTGGTGTCCATGTATGTCTACTTACTTGTTGTTTGAAAGCATCATTTTAATAACATTCAATGATCATTAAAAAAAGTAGAAAGTTCATTATTTAACCTTATGTGGAAATTTTACACTCTCCGATTTCCATGACAAACTGAGGTCAATGAGATCTAGAAAACCCAAACCTTTGCGAACTGTACATGTGTTATGCTTCTTTGAGAGCTATAAACTTTTTCTGATTTCTTCGAGACATATTATTAAACAAATACTTTTTAATAACTTTTATCCTGGTTGTTATTTCAGCACGATGCAAGCAATGTTTCACATTGATGCAACAAATTCTGTAATACTGAAATTACACAAATAAAATGGTCTCACTTCAAACGGCTGAAAATAAGTCACCCTAATTACTACACCACATCCCCTCATTATTCTATGCTATAAGGAAAACAGTTACAAACATTGAATACTATGTTTTTAAACATGTACGGTAAATTACGGAAATATAATTAAAGGTAATTGCAGCACTGTGAGAGAATTTTCAGTGGACCATACCTGCTTGCATGAGGACAAAATGGAATTGACCCCACTAGCTAAGCTGAACAGCACAATGTCAAACTGGCTAAAGCTGGGAACGATAAATTAAAAAACTGTAACAGCAAAGCAGGTCCTATACTTATTTTCCACTTCTAGTAGTAAGGGAGAGCCTTAAATGCTCTGAAAATCAGAGCAAATCATATTTTACTCTGCTCCTGGACTCGGGTACACAACATGGCTGGCTTCTGACCTCATGTCAGGATGAGCCCTGGACGTGCGCCGTTCCTCCCATCCACCCCAATTCTCTCCGAAGGAGCAGAGGCTCTCGGGCAGGGAGGGAGGGAGCCCGGGAGAACCCGATGCTTCTCGCGCTGCAAGCAGCCTGGAAGCAGGACTGGAGGGCTCCCTGCAGAGCGCTCCTGCCCCACAACTCAGAGCTAGAATTGCACCTGAGGCTTAAACACTCAGACTACATCCAAGGATGGTGATCCCAGACTCTGAGCAGCCTTATAAATGTTCTTGAAACTTTCTGGTATTACCCCGAATCCAGAAAGGTAGGAATGCTAACCTTTGTGCCCTGTATATGTATTTTGAGTTTCCAGTGAGCCTATACAGCAGCAGGAACACATAAGCACTACCAGCCACTCCATGGCATATTCCAGGTCCCTTCTTCAACAGGCCTTTCTGCCAAGTTAGCTCTCCACACCGGATACAAGTGTCCAGATATTGAGGCTTCTTGGAAACCAGGTAAGCTTTGGCAAACAGATATGCAATGCCTAGGAAAATAGCAGTGAGATTGTCTTTTGTAATAAGTATGCCAAAGGTTTTGTAGAAGACATAAGAAAATAAAGATTAATACACTAAAGAACTGCAGTCTCATGCTCTACACATGTCAATGTTACATATCTATATGCTACATATGGAGGGGAAGAGTATCTGGTAAGCTAAAAAGCATATGGTAAGATGTACTTATCCACTCCCTGTGATAACACCACTTTCAGTCTTTTCACTGCATTACTGAATGCCAGGGTTTACTCAAACATCTCTAAAATTCCCAGTCCTTCAGCAATTTAAAACAGTAGTCACATTTTTGCCTTTAAACCAGTAAACACTTAGCACTGTCTTCTACTGGTTTCAAATCCCCATTCACCTCACCTATTTACACTGACAGAAACACAAGGACAGGCTAGATAATTTCTTACACTGGCAACAGATAAATTTTTTTACTCAATGAGAAAGAGAAGCTTGCCCTCTTTTTAGTGTGGCCCATGCTGCTTTATTCTAGTTATGAACAGTTATGCATACTAACTTCTGTCAAAAAAAAAAAAGCAGCTATTTCGCTTATTTTTGGAGGTAATTCAAATAAATTAATCGTAATCTTCAACAGAGCACTGTACAGGTCAGTTCATGGTAACCTTAAAAGAAGGCATATGACACATAACCAAGCCAAGGGCCTACGGAAATGTTTAGAATAGCTTGCTTGTGGACTGAATATAATACACACTCAAGTAGCTGAAAAGTGTTCTGTAAGCTACATGTGCGTAATTACCCAGAACAATGATGGGATACAGGATTTTCTGGGGAAGAACAATAGCAATTAATGAATTTGCATGTCTCTAAATGTCTCCTAAAGTAACTTCTTTATGCCCTTTGAGATTTTGACACTTTGGTCCAGTCTCACTGCATGTGTCTCCACTAACAGTTAAACCCAAGTCAAAGGCCACTCTCAAGATACTTTAACAAAGAGGGCATCTTCCCTGCAGGTTTCATCACTAGGCCAGCCATGCTGTAGAAGTAATTTTTTCCTCTCAAAAATAAAAAAGGCTGGTAAGCAAAAGCTGTTTTCACTTCATTGGAGTGTGAGAGCAAGAAGCTTGTTCCTTAATCATACCAACAAAAAAGTAATGCATCAGCAGAAAGCACATTTAAGGGATGTTAATTATAGTGTACTCTCTGTAATTTAAATACAACACCTTTAAAAGCAATGCATCAATGCTTATGGATGTTTTTTAATAAAAGTAAGTTTTTCTGTAACCTTCTAGGTTCATGTTACCAAGCCAATATGACTAGTTAGCAATAAAATTCTGCCTGGGGGTAAAAAAGCAATTTCAATACACAGCAGTACTTGCCAAAATTGCAAAGGTATAGGATTAGATTCTGAACTGACAGACATCAGCCTTATCTTATGAACCCAAACTAAAGATTGATTCTCTCTCTCTGAAAAGCAGTTTTATATGGCTGACTTTCAGAAAAAATGCCTCTTGCTAGTACAAAATCCCCTTCACATGAAAATAATTTGGTCAAATTTATGCATTATCCACATAATAAGTGCAGCTTAAACTTTGATTCTGGTGAGGGGCGGGGAAAGGTATTCTGAAGGCCTTCCCAAAACTCACAGATGTGTCTGTATCTGTATCTGTATTCTTCTGCATACTATTTATCTGTCCAGCATATGCTGTCTTTTGACTCAGCTGTACCATTCTTCAAGGTCTTGTCATGAAAGGGAGCAAGAGCGGAAAACATACAGTTCAGGATCACCAGAATTCTTTCAGCTGTGATCACCTACACTTTTAAGGCAGGAAATACACCTATCCTTCCAGCTGCTTCAGCAATAAATAAAACACTCTTAACTGGAAGAAAAAGCCTAAATACTTTGCCTGCCTCTCACAAAATGTCAAAAATCAGTCAAAGTTATCCTGAGATATCTTCTACATGGAATCACCTAATGTGGAAAAGCAATGTGATCTGCATCTGGCTATTCATAGCATCAATGGGAAAAGAACCTGGAGCTCCATGACACCAGTGTACAAGCTCATTCTCCCGCTCGATTGTCTCTCCCAGCTCAGGAGGCCAGTTGCTGTTCTGCTCTTGGTCCATAAGAAAATCAACGCTCTGCCACACAAGCTCCTGATCTGCTGGCTGCAGGTACTCATAATAGGAAAGCAACATCTGAAGGATTGATGAAAGCCCATGTGCTGCACCTGTGAAGAACAGCAACAGTCAAAAGGAGAGGGTAGGTTTAGGTCCTACCTCCATCTCATGACAACTTTCTCTTGGGACTGATTTCCTTGTCAAGTCCTCTTTCATCTTCTTTATGCATACTACAACAGTGCTTGGAATAAAGCTTTTTAGGTGCATGACACTATGGTTTGTTACTACTTCTGTCTTTTCCAGTTCCCCAGGCTAAGCAAAAATACGTAAGAATTTTGTCTGCTCTCACTCTGATGTGACTGAAACTCAGTGTGTGAAGTTACACTGAACCTAAACTGAATACTGTTTCAAGACATTATTCTTTTTGACACACTACTGAATCTGGACCATTATTCTGAAGTCTTTGTTGAACGCAAATTGAAACTGGACCATAAATGGTATTCCCAGTTCCTGACTGACACCATCAGTCAGCTAAAACCTTAAGTTCCGTGCAAGAATTGTCTGTATTGACCAGGGTCTGTGGAAGAGCACCAGTGACTTCTCCCTCTGCTCCCCTGCCAGAGAACTCACTAACATTTGCAAAACAATCTCATGCTTTCTGCAGTGTGATATCGTGCCTTGAGGACCCCAGTAGGGACCTGCTCAATGACCTGTCCAGATGAGCTCCAACCAAGCTGCTCGCGATGGGTAGGAGCTGACCATATGCTTGAGTTGCACTGGTACGGCCAAAAACGCTCTGCAACTCCCTGCGTGGCAGCAGCAGCTTACAAATAACATCCCCTGACAGTTCTCTCTGGTAACCTTCGCCATGCAGGCATGGACATCACACCTCTCGCTGCCTCCATCTGGCAAGGGCAGATTTACCAGGGCAAAAAGGAGAAGAGGGAATGAAGCTGCTGCCTGCTGCTCTCCTGGTGCAGCACAGGCACCTCTGGCGTTCCCCAGCGCCAGGCAGCATCAGTCCTTCTCTCCAGCTCCTCAGACCCACTTTGTAGTTTTAGGGGGCTGGATGGTCCCAACTCCATCAGGAGAAATCCCACACTGTAGGTTTTATGTATTTTATTTCTGAAGCATCCACTGGCTCAGCATCTACACACAGCATCACTTTCAAAGTAGTTGGTGTGTTTTACTCACCAAGATACTCTGTTCCATAGTAGGAATACATGAGTGGGAACGGTTTCCTCTTCTTCACTGCATACTGCTTTCCTGATTCTAGTATGGCCAGGCAAATTGATTTTATTTGTGCTGGGGTCAGCACCTAAACAGAAACATCAAACCAAACATCAAGTCTATTACAATAATTTTATTTTTTAGACATTTTTCAGGACTCTGCTTTTCTGCTAGTGTACAAGACAAAGTACTGCCTTTAATCTGCATGCTGTAATGTACATCATTATGAAGAGTTCCTTACATAAACCAGTAAATTTACATAATGTTTCTCAAAAGCAGAGTTTCATCCCCTCTCAGGAAAGTGAATGTCAAATCTTTAGCTGCACAGATGAGATGAAAAGATGCCCACTTAATGCTCCTGCCTTTCCTTCCCAGAGATCCATCAGTCTGATGGAAGCTGACAAAATGCACCAGGCAAGCTGCAGAACAACAGCCTCCAGACCGGAGGAAGAGACATCAGGAGAAGACAGAGGAAAACAGACCTAGAGAAGAAGTAAATGTTACAGGCTTTATTGGGAGATACCAAGCTAGACAGATTTTTCTGCAGACAAGACAAAAAAGAAGCAGCAAGGAAGAGGGTACTAAATTTTACTGAAAACCAATACTACATATGTGGGTGCAGAAACATCTTAGTAAAAGAATCAGGTCTTCTTACTTCAAGCAAATGCTAAGAAAAATGAAGTGCAAGACAGGTTTCCAAGAAGACACGCTAGCTATGTTTAGGGGACTTTACCATCATGAACAGGTCAACACTGCCTTTAATGCAGTCCTGAGAAATTACTAATGCCCTACTCTTAGTGGTGTCAAAAGTAAATAAGATTGACAAATCATGTATTTCACCAGACATTAACTTTTTCCAAGTGAGTGAGCTAAAGCATTCAGTGAGGAATCGGTTTTAACTACAGCTCTAATTATATGCAATTCACTGCAATTGTCAGCAATTTCATCTGTCAGCCACTTCTGTACATTACTGACCAATACCTAGGTTATCTAAATAATTTAGTTGAAGTAGTGTTTTAGGGGAAAGCCTGTATGGCAGCTGTACTTTGCAAAAATATATTTCAACTTATGAAAAGAGAACTGAGAAAGAAAAAAAGGCAAAATGAGGCAGAAAAAAGAAAAGAGCTGCAGAAATAGCCTTGATGAGATAAATAGTAATCCTAAAACTAACTGGAATATCAAGGTAATGTCTTTAAACTGTTTCTGAACACATTTGGTTTTGCTATTTTATATTATCATAGCATTTACAATTACTTCAAGTTAAAAAAATACTGTTATCATTAAGTATGTAGGCAACGTCTGTTATAAACTAAATTCTCTCAATTGGCATGTAAAAGATGCTATGGATAATTAATGTCACTTAAAACATAAATGAAAACTAATGGCTGAAAAATCTTGTTTGTCTACTTTACCTTGCTCCCTGATAACAAGGCATTTTATTACAGCTGCTCCAAATGACTATGATATTCGTACAACCTGGAGAACAACCTACTTCTGATCTTGATTAGTGTTCTTTAATGTTGCTGCAGTAGAAGTAAATAAGCCATTAACATCTGGAGACTTCATTCATTTCCACTCATTTTTAAATTAATTGGTTTAGCTTCACTGAATTTAAAGAAATGGTTTAAATCCTAAGCAAACGAGGAGATCAGAGACACAGTGAGACATACTGCATTCTCTCCAGAGCTCTCATTTTACCATCTTGCAGTTTGAGACCTAGTCCTCTGAAGTCTGTATTTTGTAAAAGGATTAGTAAGGTTAAAAAGAAATGTGAAGGATAAGATCTCCTAGTTGTAATTCTGGAAGGCACACTGGCTAGAAAAATCATAATCTGTTTATTTTCTGTATGTAATGGTTCCTTTACTTAATAAATCAACCGGCTTTCAATACAAACCGTGTTTTGCTAAGCTTATTTTTATGTTCAGCGCATTTAATTTTTAAATTTAATTTATGACTATTTTAAAATGCTGATTGTGTATTTTAAATGGATTTAAACTTCAACCCAAATCCAGCCTTGCACAACACTGCATAAAGAAGTATCAGCTAGCAAGAAATGCATTGTTCATGATTTTTTAGCATAAACTAAGTGTAAAAAGTCAAAAGCACTACGATTACTTAAGTGTATACACAGTATACCTTTTTGGCTGGCATAATGAAATATGCTAATGAATATCACCTCTTTTTCAGAATGCGAAAAAAGCCCACATGCAAAGGCAGATAAAAAATGACTATTTAAAATCATTATTAGAATGGATGATAGAAATCAATGGATCCTGACCCACTTCCACATTACCAAAGAAAACAGAAAAGAAAATAACCTGTATACCTTGAAAGCAACCTCCTCTCTGGCCACTCGGACTGACCTATATGCTTAAGGCAGATAGGAAATGTGTCCTAACTAATAGGTAAACAAGAACATTTTTGAGCTGACTCCAAATATCTCTTACCAAGTGCCTCAATCCAGAGTCATTGTAGGGCTGCTGCCTCTCTTTTTCCAAAACACTTAAATATGAAGGATTTGTATTTGCTCCTTATTCTAGGAGATGGTTGGCTGGAACAGGAGCCCTCACTTACCGTTGTTATTAGTGGCATTCCAAAGGTTGAATGATCAGAGATCACATTTAAGATCTCCATCAGCTTGCTACATTTTATTTCAACCAAATCTGTGTTAAAACCGCCTCGATTTCTTTCACTTTGACAAGAAATACAATCTGTGGCTAGTCTCTGTATGCTCCCTCATAGTGTCTTTAATAAAACAGATGAAAACTTATGACCAAAACAACAATCATAGAATACATTAATCATCATCACAGACGGCATAGCCATGGTTCTACAAAGTTCATTTTCATTTCAGTGTAGTTGCAATGCCTCCTTGCTCCTGGGAATTACTGAAGCAATATGTTTAATTAGGGACGGCAAAGAAATAGACTGATCATCCCAAAGGCTTTGAAAGGATAAATTGCATATTGATATCACATCCTCTGGTGAAAGCTGTCAGACGCTTTGATGAAGAATAAAGCCAATATGAGAATATGCTACCCAGAAAAAAATTTCATGCTTGAGATAGCTACATTTTTTGAGAAACTTCTTGAATGTCATTTAATATGAGCTGGCTACACAGTAGGTAAAATATTCTTTATCACGTCAGTACTTAGCCAAAAGACTACTGACACTAAGAGATACATTGCTGGTGGTTTAATATTTCAGCTAACTCTTTTTGTATTTTTAAAGACACCACAACCTATCCTATCACATTAGAAGCGTTCACTTTGGTCTCCTCACTAGGCCAAAGTTTGGAATACTTGCATTCCACATTTCCCCTGCAATTTCTGTATCAATTGGTCAGCGGAGCTCTTTATCTTCTGTTTTAAATCACTGTCCAGTAATGCCGTGTGCTGTTAAATAACTGTTCCACTCACACTGGTGACCGCTGCGTTCCCGTATACCTTTTACTTTAAGCACAATGCTTAAGCAGTACTATTAGTATTGGTACTGCTGCCTGTGCCTAGAAGCCCTACTTATAGTAAAAAAAAGCCATTGTGATTATTTCTAAAGTCTCTCCATTTTTCTCTTGTGCCACTGCAGACAATACGCCTTCTCCCATTAAGGCACTCCACAAATCTGTGAATTATTTAAGGCAGGTACTTTATTCAGTAAATCCCTGTTAAAAGTCAGCAAGGAAGTGCTATGTCTACAGCAATCACAGAACACCATCCTTTTTTGTTGTTAGCAGTCTTTCTCAACCTGAGATTGTTTAGTTGGAAGTATATAATTTCACAACTCCTTATAATCTACTAAGAGAGATTTCATAATATATTGGTTATGACAATGCTAGGCCCTAGATATGTGTTTCAAAAACTGTAGACAGAAATCTTGACCTTGAGGATTAGGCATAAAGAAGCAGGACTAGCTCTTCTTTGCTTCTGATTACAATAACACTTTCAACACTTCATCGTTCCTCCGAATGTTTGCTACAAGCCCCTTGGCTCATGATTTGCCTTTTGAAAACCACTGCTACATAAAACTGCATACTGTATTGAGTATACTTGAGCACTGTAAGCTTTTAATTCTTTTGAAAGATCTGTATTTATTTTCTTAGAGCTCTTTCCTGCATGTCAGTAACAGAAGGCATTACTGAATGCCAAGTATGATTATCTTTTTATAGATGCATCAGTACTTTTAGGAGGTAACGGGTACACTTACATCATTGTGGAAAAAGCCTTCTTCTGTGCATGTAAAAAAACTTTAAGATGCATCTAACACATCAAACCTCTCTCTGTCACACTTCTAAAAGCCATTTACATGAATTTGATCATACACTTCCTCTGATGCTGTAGAAAGTGTCAAAATAAGCTGAAAAAAAAGGATCAGTCTACAAATAACCTAACAGGAGCTTTGCCATTAGGCTCCTATGCTGGAAGCCCAGCAGAGGGAGCTTGTGAATTAGCTATAATACTCAAAAACGCTGTACAAAAAGATACACGTCTGTGTTCAGCAGGACAGCTGACTGAAGCAGAAAGATGCTGGAGCCAACTCGGTAATTTAATGATACCTTACTGCACTGTGTGATGTTTACATTCACTTCTTAAGCTTAATCTTTTTCTACCAAAGACAAGGGCTGGGATTGTTCAGGGACCTCTCCGTGCAATGTCATGGCCAGTTTTTTTTTCTTTCAGATGATGCTAACACCTGAAGCCACGGAAGAGTAGCAGGTACAAAGAGAGAGGGGTCTGCCTTCCCCTAGTGTTATTCCACTTTGACTGATGTACCTCTCCTGCAGCACAGTGGAAAACCCAGCCCTAAGTGCACATCTGTCTGCTTTCCTTACAAGCAGTGTTGAGTACGTCCTTCTTTAAAAAAAAAAAAAAAAAATTTTATATCTCCTGAAAACTTTGTTCAAGGAATCAGATTAGTTCCTGAAGTACTACTGATACTGTTGCTAACGCAGTATGTTTCATGCTGTAACAGCACCATAAATAGTACTTTCTGGAGAGTATACTTTCCCAAGTTTCTCATATTAATACAACTACATGACAGTATGTGTAGACTCAGAACAGCTACTAATAAGATTCTGTCAGTTCATTGGAA